TATTATTTATGTTGGCAGTATAGTTATACTTCACATGACACAAATTTTTCTAAAATTGAGAAATTAAATTTAAAATATGTGGCTGAGTTTGAAATTTTTTTAATGCCTTTTTTGAAATATAATTTATATACCATAAAATTCACCCTTAAAACTATGTAATTCAATGGTTTTTATCTGGACATTTCATGTAAATGGAATCATATAAGATATGGTCTTTTATGCCTGGCTCTTTCCATTTAGCATAATGTTTCCAAGGTTCATCTATGTAGTGGCATGATTAGTACTTTATTCCTTTTTATGGCCAAATAATATTCCATTGCATGGATTACATACCATGTTTTATTCTGTAATATTTTTGTATGCTTACCAAGTCCATTGAACTTGTAGTGCTTTTTGCCTTTTATATTTGTTTCTGAAGGAACACTACTTTTTGTAAGTTCCTGAAAATAAACCTCTTAGTCTTTAAGAATAGTTATTGTTTTTTTATTTCTATGTAAGTTTCTTCATTATACTTTCCTTAATGAGATTGTTTAGAATCCTGCTACACTTAAAAAAAAAAGACTATCACTTATTATATGCTTTTTTTGTCCAAGTGAGCATTTTACTTTTTGGGAACTGATTGTTTCAATAATTGAATATATTGTTTAAAGGCATCCCTGATACATAGATATTTGATTTTATTTAGCATTAAATAAATGTGATACCATTATTAAATAATCTGTACTACACAATTAAGCTGCCATAAGGGATTGGAACCAGTAGAATATGATAATATATTTTACTGAAGTTAGGAAAACAATAGTTAGGGAACCACCATTTCTGGGCACATTGTTTATAACTTTTTTTGGAGGGAAATAGTGCTTACTTTATAGGTTTGACTTTTTTTTTTTTTTTAAAGTGAGAGTTTAACAAGGCTGAATTGCAACAATTTCCTTAAATATTCTTAGCTTTAATTCACTGGTATTTACCCTTTTTTGGAGTGGGGGGTCAGGACCTTCTTGGAGAATCTTAAAGTTTTGGAACATCCCCTAGAAAACGTACACATAATATGTGCACTCAAAATTTTGCATATTAATTTCAGAGGGCTTGTAAATTCTTCCTGTAATGGGTAAGTGGAAATCTTTATAGAAAAATGAGGAAAAAAGAAAATGGGAAAGAAGGGAGTATCACTGTCAGATGCACCCCTGAAAAAGCCCACAAAGTTAAGGATGAGAAAGAAGCGAGGACAGTAATTGGGAAAGCATAGCCAATGATACTTTCCAGGAGCCATCTGTTTCTTTGCAGTTTGATTCTTCTTGTTGAACTGCATGTTTTGCTACTGTTTTCATTTCCTCTTTTTCTCTTCTTTTCTACCCAGGAAAGTCTTTGTTCACAGTTTATGGTTCTAATCACCTGGGGTTTACACTTGGGGTTTATAATGGGACCTAAAGGATAAGTTACAAACATAGTACAATCTTCTAGTTAGCATTTGCCCCTAGAAAATGCTCTATAAGTTCTTCTAAACATGGATGTTTTATTTAAAAAATGGTAATTTGCTGATAAATGTCTTGAAGAGCATAAAATGTTATAACTATTGCATTAACAGCCTATTTATCTTTAGGGTCTTTTTTTTTTTTTTTTCAATCATTGCATGTAACTTAATAATATAAGCTTTGGATTCCTAAGTCTTTGTATGATTACCCCCAGCTATCACCTTGTACCTAAAATAGTTCCAGACGTCTGACATTGGCAGATACGTTTTCATTAAAACCCTGCCTTTCAAAATAGGGATCCTGGGAAAGTTTAAAGTGAGGGCAGAATCATTACAATATGAGGTATATTTTCAAAGAAATCTTATACTCTCCCTATCTGCCTTACAGTACCCCCCCACCGAAAAATGAAATTAGTCAAAATTAAAAATTTTTCTTAAGCCAGGTATTTTTCTTTTTCTGGGATAGTATTTAGAAAGGTTAAAATGCATTTGTTTTAAAAGAGTATAAGATATATAGTGACTCACAGTTGTTTAATTTTTCCTTTTTATAGTAATATTCGTGTGGAATTATAAGGTCTGCAGATTTTAAGATACAAATATATATTTTAAAATCCCTTTTTGGCTTCTGACCAGCAGTTTCAAATCAAAATTCAGAGCAGGTAGAGAGATGCTTTTAAAATGCATATTTGCTGTAGTAAGTGCTGTGCTATGCTTCTGAAAGCGCCAGGGTCACAGCTGCATACATGAAAATGCATGGTGACTGCAGGCATTGTTTCCTCACACAGAAAAGGCAATCTGTGTCTATCGCTGAATTTATGATGTAAATCAAATCATAGCTTTCCTATATTCAGAGATAGAGCAGAAAGGTTGAGGTGACCTAAAGGTTATGAATAACTTTTGCTTTTTGATTTGCCTACTATGAGACTAATTTCTTTCACTCCTACTTTTCTATTAAGATTGATGTATTTATACATGGAAAGGTGAATCTAGTTACATACCTTATTTTGTCATTGCCTTTGTGCTAGTCTAGTGGAACCAGGAATTTATCACTCAATCCTTCCCCTGCTCCATTTTGTTCAGATGTGTGTACTCTCTGTGTTGTTGACAGTATTGTTAAAGGGTAGGGTGGACTGAAGTATTAGCTCTGTATGCTTTTGCTGGGCTTTTATTTGTCTGAACAATGTGGACTTTGAAACAGTGTAGTAGAGGGACTGTGATAAGTTGATTATTCATCATCCAATCAAACAGTTTAAAAAAGGTGCTTTGGGGAAAGTGTGTGTGAGTGTGTGTGAAGCACGAGAGTGAGGGGGAGGGACAGTGTAACATTTCTTATGGATGTGTATTTAGCACTGGAAGGGAAACATACAAAGAATAGGAAGGCATAGACCCAGCTTTCAAGCTGCTTATGCTCTAGTTTAAGATACAAACCTACCTGCATGATAATCCTAACAATACCCATTTATGGAGTATTCTGTGTGCTAGGTATTATGTTAAATACTTCATTAAAACATATACAAAGCATGAAACAGAAAGTGCCAAACAATGCACGACAAATTGATTCATCTATGACAGAAAAAGAAATGCACAGTGAAAGAGAGATTAGAGGCACTAGAGACCAGTGAAGGGTGACCTGGTTGCCTGGTTTATATTGATTTTGATCTTAAGGAACAATGTTAGTCTCTTTTAAGAAGAAAGCAAAATCTGTTCTCAAGAGTTAGGAAATTCTGATTTAAAAAATTTTTTGTCAGCTCATTCTGATCACAGCACTGTTCTCAAATAAAAAATACAACTAAAAAATTAGGATGATTTTATCTTTGAGATAAAAAAAACTCTTTGAGGCCTCAGATTTTATTAGACATTGGCCTTAGAGCCGTTTAAACTTGGCATAGAATTATTAGTAGTTGAGAGCCATCTTTCTGCCTTTACAGAGTTTAGTTTCAGCTTTAGTCCTGTGCAGTACAAAGGGTAGGGCTTTAATGAGTGGCTTGGGTTAAATAACTCTAGCACTGGAAGTTTCTTACTCTGTATCTCATTTTACAGTTGAAGAAACTTCGCGCAAGAGAAGTAATTCTCTTTGCCGAAGACCATACAATTCTGGTAGAGGTAGAATATGAATTTGGAACTCTTAATTCAATGCTTTCCCTCCACTGTTTCACCTCACCTTTCTCCACTTCTGGTTTTTTCTGAGCTGGCAGCGTAAGAGTAAATGATTCCAGTGATGGTATATAGGTGCTGCTTACATAAAATGATAATGATGATAGCAATATCCTATATTTTGTGTTTGGTTTGTAAAACTTATATAGCTTGTTATCTGCCATTAATAGTTCTACAAGTGATCAGGTGGTTATATGGTCAATCTATCATTTTGAATCACTTGTACTCAATCTTTATAACTTGAGTAGCAAGTTTCCAGATAGTTGAAATGTTAAAGGCATCATCCAGGTTTTTTGGTGTCCTTTCATACCATATTATTTATTTTTTTGATCAACAGTGCTCCTAATGAGGAGCAAAGTTGACTTGTTTAAATTGTGGATGCTTTTGTTTCCTCGACCTTTCTCAGTTGGATGAAATGAAATGACTTGAAAGAAATGGAATGGCTAACAAGCAGTGAGTGAAAGAAAAAAAGAAAAATCTTGAATAATCCATAAATTTACTAATTCTTGAATATATCAAGAGTGAGCTATACTTAGACTTATGATATTTATATGCTTTATATTTAAATAGAAAAATGACTCTTTTCTATCATACCCAATCTAGTTCATGTATTATTTAGTGCTGTATATTTATTTTGGAACATGATTCTGTATTTCAGAAAGGAGTAATTTAACATTTGTTTCCCATTTTAAGTCTTCTAGTTTCTACTGTATTGTGTTACTCTTGTGCATCTAATGTTAATACGTGATAACTGTTTCCATAAGAAACCTCAGATTTTGAGCATGGTTCATCAGTTGCTTTTGGGTCAGTGTCAGGAAGGTGAAGGCAAAATCCTAGTCTTTTTGAAGGGGCTGACACCGTGCTTTAATCAGTTTTGTGCCTCTCCTTATGCTTGTTTTACCTGGTGTACTGTTTATCCCCACAGGGGGCAATTGGTCATGTCTAGAGATATTTCTTGTAGTCATGATTAAGTTGAATGCTATTAGCATCTGGTGGGTAGAGACCAAGAATGACACTAAACATCTGAGAGTGAGTGCACTGGACAACCCCTACTGGGGCAATCACTTGGCCCCTAGTGTCAGCAGTGCCAAGACTGAGAAACCCTCATGTGTGGCCTTTGCACAATAAAGTATATTGAATCAAAAATGCATTCTGTGTGTTAACCATAAGGCTTTGTATGTGTATTCACATACCAGTTTGGTGATTCACAAGGGAGGATTTAGCTCTTTGCTTCATTATGCTTAAAATATTAAAATGCTGGCAATTATAACTGATTCCTAGGTTAGTTGTACTCAGTCAAAATAGTGTAATATTAGTAATCAAATGTTAATCAACAGTAAGATTCAGTGTTCTTATTTTGGACTTCTCCTTCAAGGTTTTCAGCTTCTTGGAATCAATATTGTGTATCAGTCCCTACAATATTTCCACTTGGCTCTGACATAATTCTCTGGAAAAGGTAATTATCCAGATGTCTAAATCAGTAATTACCTTGGATAATCCCTATTTAATCTCATTCTTGGAGTTTAGTGTGAGATACTAAATAAAATTTGCTGAATCCAAGAGCTGGCAAAACAGGCCCTTTGCTTCATGCAACAAAGTTGGAGTGGTTCCCATAAGCCCAGTGAAGCAGAAGCTAAACTATGATACAGGTGTTTGCCATATGAGCATCATGTGTAATCCTACTTTAAAATGACTATTTCTTACTTGTGTTGACCTGATTTAATTTGGACAAAGCTGTTTTAGAAGGGTGAGGGATCTTTAACAGTTTCTTTGGGTGAGGACTGGGAGGGGGTAGGTGATGGCTTATCTGGGAAGAGTCTGGAACAGCACTTCAATGCTTTATTGTGCCACAGTAACTGTGTGGTAACTTGTTGGATTTTCTTCTTAAATACTCATAAATGCCACCATTAGCTGGAGGGTCAATGGAAGGTCATATCTGATGCTCCTCATTTTGGTGTGGTGCTTGTCAGAAGAAATACTGATGGCCAAAATAATTACAGTTGCTCCCCTTTCCTTTTCTCTCCTGTTTTCTTGAACACAACCTCCTGAACTTGTAGTCTAAGAAGTTCAGCTGTTGTGACACACCTGAAAGGCTTTTAGGATTTGTCACATTTGTTTCTTAATATCCTTGGCAACTAGAGTAGAAGCAAATTCTAGATAGGTTTAACTGCCAAAGAGTTTGGAGCTTGGAAATGTGATTTTGATACGATTTTTAAGTTTTGGCACCAAAAGTTGCTTGGAGTGATCCCTTAGCAATGGCAGTAATCTGATCAGTCAGAAATAGCCTGTGCTTTAACAAACAGGTGGCTGCCAGCATATGATGTTAGTGCATGATAGATTAAGTGAGGTTAAGGAGACAGTGAAGAGACGGTTATAATACCCAGAAAGTGTGTAGTAGTGTCAGAGAGGTGTTTAAGATGAGTGTTTTAATAAGATGGGTCTGTCACACTTTTCTGTTTGAGAGAGAAAAATCAGAAAACTTCCCATAACCTCCTTCTTCTGTGTTTTTCCTTCTTTCTTTCTTTCTTTCTTTCTTTCTTTTTTTTTTTTTTAACTTGTAGTAGTTCTCAACCCCAGCAACATATTAGAATCTCTAGAAGAGTTTTTAAAAATGACTAATACATGGGCTCCATTCCTAGCAACCCAATATAACTGAGGCCTGGGCATTGGTATTTTTTTTTTCTTATCATTAATCTATAATTACATGAAGAACATTATGTTTACTAGGCTGCCCCCTTCACCAAGTACCCCCCCCATTACAGTCACTGTCCATCAGCATAGAATCACTACTTGTCTTCCCTGTGTTGCACAGCCCTCCCCATGCCCCCCGCCCCACGTGCTAATTATACATGCTAATCATAATACCCCC